AGTTTCAGTGTGAATTGTGGGATTAAGTGTATTATAATTTTGAGAGTTAGAAAGCTGATGTTTTCTTCTGAGAAGATTTCCAAGAACCATGTGGTAATTACATTGTGTTTTTTAGTATTATATTTTGGAAGGGGGTGGAAACTTAGAAGAAGGACGGTTTGTATGGAAAGTGGCGCCACCTTTTATATAATGGTAAACATCATTTCATCTCATGGCTGAGAAGAAGCATCATTTCTGTCATCGAGACATTCATGTGTCATCAAACCGCTACGTTATTTCGTATTTCTATTTCTGTTCTTGTATTCTTAGTTAAATGTTGTTTCATTCATTTTGTTTTTAATTAAAATGTGTTTTCGTGAAAAATGACGCTGTACGCAACTGTGTTTTAGATGGACTGATTATGGTAAGTTACAATTCAATAAAAATTTTCATCTTATTCCCATACGTCAGACTCATTTAGACATTTAAATATTTTCGTATTTTGGTGTAGTTTTTAGCACCACAGTGATTTATACTTTCCGGTTATCATATTGAATGGTGCCCTACTTCTAATACATTTTACATATCAGTTCCTATACTTGACAGGAAATCACATTCTGTTTGTTTGTTGTAGGTGCACATATACACGGTTTCCCCCTTTCTGAGAGAAGGTCAGTGAAGTTCAGAAAATGTGTGCCAATCACTGGAATTATAGAGCCATAAACTGATGTGTCTGAAATTAGTAGGTGGGTCCATGTGTGTATATGTAAAAATTATATTTTTTTATTTGTAATTTTTTATTGTAAAGAAAAATCTGCTTGCCTATGTTGTAAGAGAATATGTTCAGAGTGTTTAAACTCGCAAATAACTACAAATTGCCAGTTGTCAGCTTGCATGTGACTGAAAATATTTTGGGGTTTGGTTTTAATTACAGGGTGTGCATTCTTTTGTGACCGCGCTATACTATTTATTACCGTAAATGTAATTTTCAAATATATATATTAAAAATTAAAATATTGAGCTGATATCTTGAAAGTCATTGATGTATATGTACTTGCATAGATTTAAAATTAAGTTATGTAGAAATATAATAAATAATGTACAAAAATATAAAAATATTTTGTTTTTATTTCCCCAATAATAATAGGATCATTTTAATAGAGGTATTTCATAGAAGGCTACTTGATATCGGCTCACTATAATAATAACTGATAAGTGGGTGTATTATTTTTGAACATTGATTTAATGTCAATTTTAATTTCATAAATTAGATTCCCACTTATCAGTTATTATTATAGTGAGCTAAATAAGCGTGCCTACGTATATAGATACCAAAAAAAAAAAAAATTAGTTCAGCGATTATACGCATGGAGCGCCACAATCGCCGTGGATCCACGACTTCGTGCGAGTTGCCCCTCTTTCTATAGTATACTTATTATACTCTTTGCTCTCATATAACAAACGAAATTTTTTATGATATTATTATATTTAAAATCTAACCTTATTTGGTAAGAATATTGTAGTTTCAGTGTGAATTGTGGGATTAAGTGTATTATAATTTTGAGAGTTAGAAAG